AAAAATTGTTGTTTCTTAAATGGCCATGACCATAATTTTTCCTTGGTAGGTATGAACCAAAGGTTAACTTTTCTCATATTCCGGCTCATCTCCCCATAGTTGTGTGCCCACTGTTCACTACCAACAAATATATATAAAACGTGGAGGGACAATAGGCTTACTCCTGTTTAGGATTTTAACTTGCATCCTTCCATTGACGAGCCAGGCACTGCATACTATCCCGTAAATTACTTACTGTGTTACTCCTGTGAGCGTACAAGACAATGTAATAACCAAAAATGTCAAACCAAGTTCCTATTACGGAAAAAAAACTCTGTCAGGAATTGCTATGTAACACTCATAAATCTGCATTACACAACTGCACATTGATACACATGGAAACTTCAACAACATTTCTGCTGTTATTAATGACAAAAGTTAACAAAAAATATTAATGGATCATAAAATGAATGAGCTAATAGAACAGGAAGGGGGCTGTTTTGCAGGGACAGTCACACTTTATGTGGTCACTAGCGGGAAGTACCCGGCATTGCCTGGGCGAAAGAGAAACACACACACATCGACTTACACACACACAGACATCGACCCACACACACAAACACATCGACCCACACACATATGGACTCACACACATACATAGACTTACACACAAATTTGAACTTTTAAATTTTACTCAGTTTTTACAGATGAGTTTTCTATGTACGTCATGTTAGGGAAAGAACCAAGAAAGAGGGGAAATGCAAACAATTGTGAATGCACTTTTGAAGACAGGCACACTGTAATGAAAGCTGAAGGTCATACTTTAGTTGTATGATATGCCTTTGTCTTGTATTGAATGCGATGAGTCATAAGTATATGGGTAATGGTATAAAAACACGGATGTATTTGTACTATAGTCTTTAGTACTGTAGTTTTTAATTGTACTGTAGTAAGGCACTTGATGAAATACAGATGGTCTTTAATATGTAAAAGATAAATGGGGTAAATGGGGAGAAAGGAGGTGGGGCAGGTAATGGCCGAGGTGAAATAAGAACAGCGCGCATGCGTGCCGCAAACAACCGCTGGCAACCAGACCGTCGACAGGACACTTGACAGGCATGGAGGCAGGCAGGAGACTTTTGGATGGGGCGATGAGATGTGGGACAGCGATGAAGGTGCGCTGCATGAGCACCATCACGAACGGTCGCCGGTAGCCAGGACGCCAAAATGGTGGCCGGCAGGCACGGGTGCAGGCAGGAGACCGGGGAAGGAAGCGATGTGAAGGCCGTGCAGGTCAGTGAGGTGTGGACGCGGCTTAGCGAGCACCCACCGACAGCCGAACTGCCCCCCAGCAGGCGTGGGGTAAAGCAGCACACGTGGGAGGGGAGTCGCGCCCCCAACCAAAGCAAGAGCCTCTCCAAAGTAATGAAACACAAAATAGGGCCTCTCCAAAATAATGAAACCGCCACTTCTTGCTGAGCTGCACCCCCCTATCAAAGAGCCTATTTGTAAACAATGTTTATGATCTTACCTGCTGATCCAAAGTAATGTAAATATTTGGCATTTCCTACACGAGAGCATCCAACATAAAGTAGAGCCATGAGAAAAGCACGGAGTTGACAAATTCAGTCCCACCACTTTCAAAGATTGTCCTTGCGTTTGAAGCTTTCGTGACTGCAGGAATCCATACTCTTTGGTTCTTTCAGTAAAGTTACGTAGGTAGAAAAATTAATAGATCACGACGTTTCGATCGCAACACAAGCAATCGTCATCAGGTGAGACAACCACAGCAAGAAAAAAAAACTGCTGAAGTAGACGAGAGATCTGCCGTGCCACGAGTTTGTATTATATAATAATATATACTATAATTATTTATATTATATAACCTCGTGCCAAGATTCTCTTACAATCACACTTAGAATTAACAGATAAAATGTCCACATCTGATTGGGACCATATAGATAACATGACAGTTTCTTCAGCTACTTCAATGTCAACCAAATGTAAAGTTAACTTGATTGCTAAATTCAACCTCCTGTCATAAAATAAGTCAGAGCCACACGCTAATAAGTTAGATGTTAACAAGATTGTCAATGATCATAGTAACATCCCAATTTCCGGCAACCTAAAATCGGTACTAGCTAAAGGGTTGAATTTCGCAGTGACCCCTAAACACATCCCAGTGGATGATATCATTGCCCAGGTCGACATAGCCCTCAAAGACTTGGGACACATCCCGGCAGACGTTGCTAGATCTGAAATCGCTGCTATCCTCAAAAACGCTAAGAAACCCATTAGCAACATCAGCAAGGACGAGCGTTTTGAACTCTCTCAATTAAAAAACACAGATGACATAGTCATCCTCTCAGCCATCAAACGCAATGCCACTGTCATCATTGATAAAACCACTTACAACAACAAAATTCAGGACCTTCTTAATGGTGGCAGCTATACCAAAATCAACAGAGATCCCACCAACCGCCTAGCTACAAAAAACAACAATAATATCATCACCAAATCGACTTCTCGTATCGATCCGAACAAGCAGTGCTCTCTCCTCGGCTGCTAGACCACCCACATTTTATGGCCTTCCAAAGATCCTCAAAGAAGGTACCCCACTCCGTCCTATCGTCTCCACCATTAACTCACCCACCTACAAACTGGCCCGATTTCTGTCTGAGACCCTGCTTCCCTACACGGGCAAGACCACCTCAGCTGTACTTAACTCAGCTCACATGGTTTCTCTAATCAAGGACATCTCACTGTTTCTAAATGATTTACTTGTCAGTTTCGATGTAGTCTCCCTGTTCACCAAGGTAACTGTACCTGATACCATTGCAATCATTGAAGACTTGGTCCAACAGGAACTGAATCCAGATGTACTAACTTTGGTAAGACACTGCCTTACCAACACTTACTTCACCTGGAATGGTACAGTCTACAAACAAAATGAGGGTACCCCAATGGGTTCTCCCTTATCGCCAGTGGTAGCGAATGTTTTCATGGAGAAATTTGAGATAGATGCCATCCAGACATCCACCCTACGTCCTTCCTTGTGGAAGAGATACGTAGATGACACATTCGTCATCTGGCCACATGACCTGCCAGCACTGAACCAATTTCTTAACCACAGCAATTCAATATACCCATCTATCAAATTCACCATGGAAGTGGAAAAGGATGGCAAGCTACCATTCCTGGATGTTTTGATCAAGAAGAGACCTGATGGCTCGTTGGGACACTGTCTACAGGAAAGACACCCACACGGATGCCTATCTAAAGCCTGACTCCCACCACCATCCAGCCCAGAAGAATTCCTTCATCAAAACGCTACACCATAGGGCCCGTTGCATTTCCGACCAGCACCACCTCGCCAGTGAGCTGGAGCACGTACACCAAGCCCTCAGGATGAACGGATACTCTGACCGTACAATCCCCAAAGCTGTCTCCCCAGCCATGGGGAGACATCCATCTGAGGATCCAACCAATACCATCACTTTGCTATACATAGCAGGGGTTACCAAAAATATTTCCAAAATCTTAAACAAACAGAAGATCCAGGTCCGTTTCAACACAGTACACAAAATCCGTGATTTGATCCCATCTGTAAAGGATGTGATTCCTGATATGCAATACCCAGGTGTCTACAAACTGAGTTGTGGCCGTGGCAGCAGTTACATTGGGGAAATGAAACGACGTCTCGGACCGTGTTTGCGAACACAAGGCAGATCTGAAACATGGTAGGACCAATACCTCTGCCGTTGCTGATCATTGTTTTAATGCAGTGGGCTCACACTAAATTGACTTTTCCAAGATGAAGGTACTCTGCAAACCCACCAGCTATTATCAGAGATTTGTTCCTGAAGCCATCCAGATATATAAACACAGACACAACTTCAACCGAGAAGATGGGTACAAACTGAGCAATCATTGTAAGGACGTTATTAACCAGTTAAAAGTCTTAACTGACTGTGATGTTTCCATCCAACCTGCCTATGTCAGCTGTTATGTCCGACTCTCTGTGTGTCTCTCTGTGCATCTCTCTCCGATCTGCCCTGCTCCCCCCCCTTCTCTCTCCGCCCCCCCCCCCCTGCAGCTGACCGCTCCAGTGCTGCTGCGGTGGCCCACTTAACTCCAGTGACCCGGGTGCTGCTACGGGGTCCACTTTCTGCCTCGCCTCCTTCCCACCTCCCCCTTCTCTCTCCCCCCCTACTGCCGAGGCCTGCTATATAACCTCGTGCCACGGCAGATCTTTCGCCTACTTCAGCAGTGTTTTCTTGCTGTGGTTGTCCCACCTGATGACGATTGCTTGTGTTGCAATCAAAAAGTCGTGATCTTTTATTTTTTCTACCTACGTGACTTTACCGAAAGAACCAAAGAGTATTGTCCTTGCGCCTTGTTAATGGACATTGCAAAGCTGAGCTGGATGGGGAATTGAAGCCTCCTAAATTCAAAGACTGTGTCGTTTGGGATTATATGTATGCGATGGAGAAAGACGTCTTCACCTTCAGAATTGCCTGTAATTATTGTAGCGGCGATAGCATTTGAATGTAATTGTTTGACAATTAACCTTGTGCCATTGCATAGTCTAGGTGGGTCTAAGTTTCTGAATAGCAAGACAGGTGCCCCAATTTTTAGTAGTAAGTTGTGTGGAGGAACACCCGGGAGCTGCATAGAATTCAAGAATTCAACACTGGTCCAACACTGAGTCAATAGATTTGTAGGACTTGCTCCCTCCAGGTAATTTATGCAACAGCATGGAATTGATTCTGTGAACAGCATCATTCCTTGGAGCCAAAATGGCCCTCTCCTGTAGCCAGATAACATATTGAAAATGTTGTTGCATGTTTGGGTACACTTTGTCCTCCAGTTCCTGTTTCGAAGTGGAAAGGATGACTTTAGACATGGTGATATGTCCATCTGTGGCATCAGCAACAATACTGCCATTTCCAATGTGAAGAAGAGCTTCAGCAAAGTCGCGTGCCTCTTGGTCTTCATGGAGATATACATGCATGTTTGTTGTTAGTCTCAGTTTCATCACGTGCCTCCAGAGGAATGATGACTTGATGCAGGCATTTAACTCATTAGCTTTGGTTCCTCGAAGTACAACAGGTAAGGTTTGTCGCAAGTCACCAGGCATGAGTAAAGTTACACCATCCATAATGCTGGAATTGTCGCGGAGGTCCTGCAAAGTTTTGTTGACAGCCTCAAACGCTCCCTTGTGGAACATGGTGCATTCATCTCACACTATGAATTCACAATTAAGCAGGACTTGTGCAAGGGCTATATTGCAAACAGGGTTGTCTTGTCGGGATAGATCCAATGTGGAATGGACAGTTCTTCCTCCAGTAAGCTGCATTGCCGCAATCCCCGATGATGCCACAGCTAGAGCAATGTGCGACTTACCTTATAGGGTGTTGACCCAAATTATAATTCCCCCCTCACCCCCACCGAACGCGTGTGACTTGGTAGGGGCCCTATCCCCCACCGAACTCGTGCTAGTTGGTACGGTCGAGCAGGCGCTATGTAATAAAGAAGTAACCTAAAGCAGCACTAAATCGCTAATTAAACTAAAGGTGACAGACGCGAAATTGGAACTTGCCGCACACACACAGACAGACACACAGACAGACAAACATTGACATTGATAGGTGAGAGTATTGCATGGTGCCTTTAAATATGTAGATTATTTTCTAAATACTGTATTGTAGGCAGGCACTGTGATAATACGGCACAGGAAGAGAATACATTTTTGAATATTGAAATCATATTCATCAGAAATAAATGTGTCAGAGAAATGTAAGTAGCATAAATGTGTAACGCAATAATCGGGGTACTTACCTGCACTAGCAGACACCCACCAGTAGGGGGTGATGTGTGGGCCGCCAAGGTTCCCCAGACCCCGAAAGGGGGGCTGGGGGAAGATTCCAGGTCCCTCTGGTAGTTACTCTCCTGAAGAAGACCGCGTTATGGAAAAATCTCGTGATGCAAAATAATATAATAAAGGGTAAAGAATAGTCCACGATAACACGTGGGATGCGTACGCTGGCCACACGAAGACTGAGGCACGTGGGTAGCATCTAGAAGCATCCAGCAGCATCCCACCTTAAGCGATGCTACGCTGAGGCTGCCACACAACCGCTTATTCCTACTCGAGCGACGTAGTTCACTCAATTGCGTTTATATCGAATTTGCATCCGTGTTATAAAATACTGTGTTCCCTAATACATTCATCGCCTTATATACAATTCGCGTTATGAAAACACGCGTTATAGGAGCATAGGCTGTGTTAATAGGGACGTCTTCTAAGCGTGTATTAAGACTGGAGAGTGTAATACTGTGCTTAAATACAACTGACGCGCATATTTGCACTAGCAATTAAAACGCTATGTACATCAAGTACATATCTGTTGCATGAGATTTGGTAAACCGTGCATGCGCTCGAAGACAGTGCTCATCAACGTCCTTTGCTCGGGGTTCCCTCTCTCGTCTCTACTTCTTTTTTTATTTCGTGTTAATTTTACAGGGAAAAAATAACAACCTTAAGCCCGCCTTGCACCTCTGCTGCAGGGTGATGTTAAGTTCAAATTGGTTTGGATTTGATTAGAGCTACCGTGTTTCCACACTCTGTGATTATTCTGATGTATAGTACACGTCAGCCTCTGTAACTGTCATCAACATGCTCAATCCTTTTATAGCACTTTGCTTCTAAGATTTGCCATTAACGTGCCCTATAGGGTACACCAATGTCACCTATATCTCACAGCTCATTTGAACTCTGGAGGCATGGAGAAATATACATTTCATTTTCAAAGTACGGTAATCGAATCTAAGTCTGCTCAATATCCATCGAGTTTGCTGGAAGTTTAAAACAAAGCCTCTGATTATTGTCCTTTGTAATTGCAGCGCCAAAATTCTGGAATGCATTGGTCACTTTTATCAATATTTCAGACCTTATCATCTGAGTCTGCATTGATGTTATTGCTCCCACGACTCCTACTGCAACACATTTGCCAATTTTACTCATGCTATTAGTAAGGCCATTTGGGAATGCTATTTTTGGAAAGGACAATTTAAAATTGCGAATCCAGTTATAATCCATGCTGTTTTTTTTAATGTAATTTTAAATGCCATATGCCAATTCCACTCACTCGTGTCATGCATACTGTAAATTTGGATTGCTAGCTAGACTTCCATTGTGCATAATTATGGCTATGTATTAGCCATGTCCATAGCATTTCCCTGATTTTGTTATATGCGGCCTCTGTAAACCCTCCCTTCTCATGTGACGTGCGTGCGACTGTATCCGCCGTTTTTGGCTGGGTTGCCATTCAAAAGGAGCTGCGTAGCTCATTGGAGTTGATACGAAATAAACTTACAGAATGAAGTGACACGCGCTTATTAAACGTAGGATTTTGTGAAAAGTGTTATTCAATAAGTGTATTAAATTGCAAATATTCAGTTTGTTTTTGCTAACAACTTATTACAGTTAATAAAATGTGTTCGGTGTTGTGTAAACATAATTGCCAAGCAGTGGTGCAGCTGTGCTGGTGTACTTCTAACAGGTCCCTGCAGGGTGGGCTGGTAGGAACATTGGAATTTTGCGCAATTTTATTTTTACACCCCAACAGCACGAGATTTCACTTCGTTAAAGTATTGAAAGGGGACGGACGGACGGACACATTGATCTATTGCAGGCTGGTACACTCAGTTTACAACTTCGTTCCTACCAGTATAATCCATCACTGGAGGTGAAGGCTGGTGGATCACCACACAAATAGTGTTAAACTCCCTTCCTGTGGGTATCGAGGTGTCAGTCCCTTGCTTGCCATTTATTTAAAACGTTGTCTAAATGCTTCATACTTCTCAAGCAACGTAATCATTCCAGAATACAGTACTGTATATGCATCTTCACGCCAATAATTAAATACTTTATAAATACATGTACAATACGTGAATGCACAAGCTGTCTTCTTTCACAGTATATCAGTGTGCAGGATAAAATGCCAGTATGCTGCTACAATATAAAGCTGGTCTGTGGTTTAAAAAAAGGCTTGAATTTCAGCGTTAACACTCTGGCATTTACTTAAAAATCCTCATCGGAATGCCCTAAATTGCACAGTGTTGAATTCCAGAGGTGCGCATAGTCGACATCTTGTATCGACATAATATCCCTTTTCGAGACAGATGGCACAGTTCCATCTTTTGTTGTTGCCTTGTTTTACCATGAACCCACAGGGCTCCGAAACATTTTAACACACGCACACATTGTAAGCAATAACCGTTGACCAAGAAGAATGGCAGATTTCGCTGCCTTGGCTCAAGCTTTTAAAATGATTATGAGTTCCATGCCGTTGTGTCTAACGGTGGCTCAATAATATAACCAGTCGTGGTTGCACTCTACTAAAGAACGGGAGGCAAAGGCTTCTTGCCTATGGAGTTCATCACCCACTCTTTGGTGAGTGGTGATTTGAAATACGATACTGGAACAGTGTTTCTTTTAATCCTTGACAATCTGTGGTGGTCCTGTATTTCACCATGGCACATAATATCATGCTATGCAATGAATGCGATCCCACTGCTCAGTGATACTGCTGTCATACATTAATAGTGTTATGTACAGTATGTTTGCATTGTTTGATTTTGAGACCAGTGACTTTTTAAGTAAGCATTTCAACATTGGGAGAATAGTACAATGTCAGGAAGCTCTAATTGATACCGTACTGCAATATTCGTAAGGAATAGTTAAATTAATAGAATGTTGAAAATAAGTTATTCCAATTGTTGCAGTGCGCTTCTTAATCTTTATTGTTTTTACTGAAAACTGAGTTGACTATTAGAAAAAAATCAGAGCAACAAACATGAATCGATGTCTTATTGCCTCCATAAATTGAAAATAACAATCTTACATTCCATTTCTAGACACGTTTTTCGGTTCGTTTTGTCTTTTCAGCTAAAGTTTTTTTCATGAAGAAGTTGAATCGAGATTGCATTTGTTTTCTAAAGTTGGCTATATGCTTAATAACAGCCGTAGACGATGCAATTTATATTCAGATAAAGTCACCATGCAAGGGAAACCTTTATACGTTTTTTATCAGTAGCTTGTACAATCAGAAGCCACCTTCAGCTTAGCTGTAATTCTTACCATTCAGCCACAAGCAGAGATCACCTGTTATCGTCTAAGTGCTTCAAGTGCAATTTTCAGTGCCTTTCGCCTTGCACTCCTTTTTATCAAATGGCATGGAATGCTAGCTGTGCAGTTTTTTCGCGAAAGAGGCAGTCTCATGTAGATGATGAAGGTGAATTCCTAAGCCATCCTGTCCACAAATCCATCTTCAAAGGAGGTCCGAGAATATTCCAGAAACAAATCCACGATTGAACATACGCAATGCAGGAAGGTACATTTAATAAAATATATACATTGAGGGAAAAAAATATTTGATCCCCTGCTGATTTTGTACGTTTGCCAACTGACAAATAAATGATCAGTCTATAATTTTAATGGTAGGTTAATTTTAACAGTGAGAGACAGGATAACAACAAAAATCCAGTAAAACGCATGTCAAAAATGTTATAAATTGATTTGCATTTTAATGAGGGAAATAAGTATTTGAACCCCGTCTGCAAAACATGACTTAGTACTTGGTGGCAAAACCCTTGTTGGCAATCACAGAGGTCAGACGTTTCTTGTAGTTGGCCACCAGGTTTGCACACATCTCAGGAGGGGTTTTTGTCCCACTCCTTTTTGCAGATCTTCTCCAAGTCATTTCGAGGCTGACGTTTGGCAACTCGAAACTTCAGCTCCCTCCACAGATTTTCTATGGGATTAAGGTCTGGAGACTGGCTAGGCCACTCCAGGACCTTAATGTGCTTCTTCTTGAGCCACTTCTTTGTTGCCTTGGCCGTGTGTTTTGGGTCATTGTCATGCTGGAATACCCATCCACGACCCATCTTCAATGCCCTGGCTGAGGGAAGGAGGTTCTCACCCAAGATTTGACAGTACTTGTCCCCATCCATCGTCCCTTTGATGCGGTGAAGTTGTCCTGTCCTCTTAGCAGAAAAACACCCCCAAAGCATAATGTTTCCACCTCCATGTCTGACGGTGGGGATGGTGTTCTTGGGGTCATAGGCAGCATTCCTCCTCCTCCAAACACGGCGAGTTGAGTTGATGCCAAAGAGCTCCATTTTGGTCTCATCTGACCACAATACTTTCACCCAGTTGTCCTCTGGATCATTCAGATGTTCATTGGCAAACTTCAGACGGGCTTTCTTGAGCAGGGGGACCCTTCGGGCGCTGCAGGATTTCAGTCCTTCACGGCGTAGTGTGTTGCCCATTGTTTTCTTGGTGACTATGGTCCCAGCTGCCTTGAGATCATTGACAAGATCCTCCCGTGTAGGTCTGGGCTGATTCCTCACCGTTCTCATGATCATTGCAACTCCACGAGGTGAGATCTTGCATGGAGCCCCAGGCCGAGGGAGATTGACAGTTCTTTTGTGTTTCTTCCATTTGCGAATAATCGCACCAACTGTTGTCACCTTCTCACCAAGCTGCTTGGCAATGGTCTTGTAGCCCATTCCAGCCTTGTGTAGGTCTACAATCTTGTCCCTGACATCCTTGGAGAGCTCTGTGGAGAGTTTGGAATCTGATTGAATGATTGCTTCTGTGGACAGGTATCTTTTGTACAGGTAACAAGCTGAGATTAGGAGCACTCCCTTTAAGAATGTGCTCCTAATCGCAGCTCGTTACCTGTATAAAAGACACCTGGGAGCCAAAAATCTTTCTGTTTGAGAGAGGGTCAAATACTTATTTCCCTCATTAAAATGCAAATCAATTTATAACATTTTCGACATGCGTTTTTTTTTATTTTGTTGTTGTTATTCTGTCTCTCACTGTTCAAATAAACCTACCATTAAAATTATAGACTGATCATTTCTTCGTCAGTGGGCAAACGTACAAAATCAGCAGGGGATCAAATACTTTTTTCCTTCACTGTAAAAATATACATTATGATGTGTATATCTCAACACAAGCAGGACTTCAGACCAAAAATAAATCTGGTACTTTGCATTTTTAAATACTACAAAGTATAGCACTGTGGAGGAAGTGGCCGTATGATTGATTGAACACTGCGCTATGAACTTGGCAACCCTTAGCTCAATTCCTGGCCAAGGCTCACGCCACTGATGAGTAATATCTGAATTTGTCCTACCCCCCTTTTAGCAAACTGCACTGACCAGCGTGAAGTATAGGAAAAAGCCCCCATCGTGACTGACATGGCGTGGGTAGGCCTTCATCCTGTAATGGATTGACAAAGAACTGAATTATTAATATGACATCGTACTGCATGTTAAAATAAGATATAAGAATAATCCACATCGCTCTGGCTGTTGCACGTTTTGGAATGATGCACATGATTTTCCTATCCAGGAATATGTAACAGTAATTTTGAGGTCCATGAACGTAGGGGCAATTGACACATTGTTAAAATGTGTCCAATATGCTGTAAATATATATAAAAAAAATATTGGACTCACTGAAGTAATATGCTTAAAAATGAAAAAAAATTGAATTGGCTATGATGAAAGGCAAAGCAAGGCACACGTATACATTTTTCGGTGCCTAAACAAATCATGTGCTGCATGTAAAATACACAGGGGGAAACAACAAACCCTAACAAATCTTCAACATACGGCAAGCTTCTTTGGGGCATAGTTTGTCCTGCATAACTTTGACCAGAGCGAACTCCTTAATTGCCTGCTTGAATACATCGAATGGGCTTCCTGTGGACATATGTATTGATTAATCAAATGCTTTTACATCCCATTCGATATTTTATGTTTTTTTTTTCCTGAATCATATTCTCATGCTGTTATTGTTGGAAGCTTCGCTTGCTTTTAGTCCGATTTATTTTCGTGTAATGCTGTATAAATACAGCATATCTTATTCATGGTGCGGTTGTAAGCATACGGCCGTCCAACGCAATTCCCAATCATTTTAAATCACTTCTTTTCACTGGAGGACTGCCAAACCTTCAAGTTAAAGCTGAGATATTTCTAGTAGGCCAACACATGTACTGCCTGTACCGTAGTTACCTGCAATAAGTGACACTGCGCAGTAATGTTGCACACAATTGCAATAATAAGACAACGTTGCATTCAAAGTTGCATTTAAAATTAAACAACAACAACAACAAAAACACGACGTCGCATTTAATCAACGATTGTGAAGGCTTGCCCCTGTGCTGTGGTTTAGTGTACGCCAATGCATTACAATCGCATCGTCTCTGTGCGTGCGTGCGTACGCGCATTTCGTTTTTGTGTGCGCGCGCGTGCAAGGCGGTCCAGCCCTGCTTGCTGGCCACCCTCGCGTGCCGTGCCGTGCCGGCCTTTTAAAAAAAAAACGAAAATAGTCGCTCGCCACCAACAAGCACTTTGCCTCTCCCAACAGGCTGTGGTGATAAGGGGCCGCACGGGTGACCTTTGTCTTTTGTTCGCGAGTCTGTGAACGCGAATGGGCAATCCCAGGGAAAGGCAAAAAAAAGGGGTGACGTCATGCCCCCCGGAGCCTTAGAGACGCTGTTTGTAGCAACAAGCTGATGCGGCTTTCGAGACGAACGGAATCACCAAGAGCCGCACGCGCGCGCGAGCGAGCGAGCAGTGCACACCGCGTGTGCGCGTGAACACGCGTTGCGTTAACGCGCATGGGAGGACAGCGACGACGACAACGACAACAACATCGGCGCCTACGCAATGAACGAAGACCTTAATTAGCAACATCCGCTGGATCCCCCGCTATTCGTTTGGAAGCACGGTGAGAGCGAGAGAGAGAGAGAGCTGATGATAATAATGATACTACCGTGATGTGCGCCGAGGCTTTCGCAGTGCGTGATATGGCAGAGCAAGTGTGGAAACGCCGCCGTGCCTATGTGTTTACATATATATACCCCTGCACTCGCGTTTTAGACGCACGGTGTACACTCTGCATGGTACATGCGATGTGAACTATGACGTCACGTAATCTCGTGTTCTTCCTTCGCACGGCGAAGCAACGCAACCAGCTCGCATCGGCAATTCCTTAAAGCGGTACCACATATATATGTGTGTGTGTGTTGTGTAATTGCAGCACGGTTCGATGTCATTTACCACGCGCCGCGCGATAGCGGCTGCATTCCGATAGGCGAGCAAAGAACAAAACAATTGGTTAACCTTACCTCGCGACGCAGAGCGCGATACGATCAAATATAGGCAGGTCTGCAGCGGTGAGAGTGATTGTTATGACGATGACCGTCATCAGCATCATCATCAACACGTGCGTGCTGCATGCATCATTCCGGCGGTCGAGGCATTTGCCGTCGAAATCGCTGGCAGCCGAGCTGCTTCGCAGTGCGCGTGGTCAATCGATCAGTGGCAATGACGCGAGCTCACGCGGATTTCTAATTGTATCGATATTCTTCCAATTGCAATGGCACTCGAGTCGGATTCTGGCACGTGCAAAATAATCGACTTTGGTGCAGATATTGTACGCTCAATATGCGAATGCAATGTTTGTAATATGCAGGTCCAGGCCCGTTGCGAACATTACGGGTGGGTTCAACCATTAAGATGATTTAACTGGTTTGTCTTGGTTGTGTTTACTTTATTGTATTGCTTTTAATATATTATGTATTGTATCTTCTCTCGTGTTACAAACCAATGCATTCATCCCTGGTCCTGTAAAAGATGCATGGTGTCTCTCTCAATGGGCTCTCGTCTAGCAAAAATACGGGGATTAGTGTTTCAGTGGCATTTGCTTTTGCATTATTCATGCCACGCGATGCGTGTGTGTGTGGTGGCTTCAGGGGAAGTATTGCATTTACAACAAATTTCTCATTTGTGAACGGGGTAAACCACCGATGATGTTTTTTTGGAGATTGAAACGAAATCAGGGTGGCTTTTAGTAGGAGGAGACTGCGCATTTTATGTTTTAATTCTAAGGTCCTCACCCCCCCGGCCATAACCCCCTCGTCGCACCGCACCACAGCACGCACATCCCCTCCACTCACTTACCCACCATCCTTCCCGTCCACTCACCCACCATCCATACTCTCCACTCACCTACCACACGTTTGTGGTAGCATAGCGAACGAGCATTGCCACGTACGTTCGCGTTCCTGTTTAGGATTGTTTGGAGAGAGAGCGAGAGAGAGAGTCGCCTAGGAGGAGACCGGCATGGCTCGCTGTTACAATGAAGATGAGGACGAGGAGTTTTACGAGTATGAGCCACTGCCCACTGTGCTGGAGGACGAGGTGAGAGAGAGATGGGTGAATGCACCGGTGACGGTGACACGTGCGTGAGATGCGTGTGTGCTGGCTCATCGCTGTGCAGCGTTAGGTGTGCAGAACAAGAGATGTGTGTGCGGGCGTGCTGATGAATTGATGCATGATGCACAGCACCGGATATGTGTGCGCATACATTACATATACACAAGCTGTACTGTGCTTATGTATCAATTTAAAACATGAAACAAATATCTCTCTGATATATGCGCTCGGCATGCATACATTTGCCGTTGTCATGCGCTTGCATGCATATGCAATGTATTTTATGATTATATAAAACTATTCAAAATAATCATGACAAATATGTTTTATTTTTACAACGGGCATCTAGAACGTTAATAGCAGTCAATAGATCAAAGCAGTAATTTCTAAAAATATATATGCATTGGCATATGTCAGAGTGCATTACACATCATGTATTTCTTTGATGTCATGTTTGCACGGGTTTGCTATCATTGTACAATTCCAGTGCTGCCTAATTTAATTGAATGGGTGATGATAATAAGATTTACAAGCGTAATGTATCAGATTGCACTGCACGGGATGTTCGTGCCTGCCATTAATTTTTTTGTACAAATTTTTTGTACACATTTTTTTAACAAAATGTATTTCTAATCAAATACTGCTTGTTCATTTAAATTGCTATTACTATCAGTAGGACCTTTTTATGCAGCCTTTGTGCATAGGTTTGCAGGGTTTTTTTTACCTTTCTTTTTTTGCCAATAAATGTGATTGCAGCATGAGAAATGTTACATTGATCTGAAGTGAAGTTAATGCATTTCAGAAAACAGTCATGCGAGTGATTCATATATATTTTACAGCTCTAACAACCAGAGACTCTCACGATGCTGGGAACTTTGTCAAACAGTGGTGTGTGTCTGTGTGTGTGATCAAATATTAATGTTTCGTGGCGTGTGCTTTAAATGCTGTAGCGTTGCCCAATGCCCTCATGCGAATGCACCTTAGTATCCCAGGCACATGAATACTTAGTGCATTGCTCGGTTGACAATGTCCTGTATTTATTGTAATGAAGAAATTGCTCACGGAATGAATGTATAAAAAACACACACATTTTGCAACACAAAAAGACGAGCATGAGTTTATTGAGCGGCATTTTCAAAAGCCTTCGTATTAGTGGACCTCATTTGTGGCCAAACTGTTTTCAACCTCATCCGAAGTAAGACACACAGGACGCAATAAGAAAAGGCTTTCAGAAGCTAACATTGACCGGCTTGTGATGCGTCTGCCTTGCACAACAGTCTGAAGCTGGCACGTCCCAAAGCGTGTTTTTTCCCTCTCCAAAACTCATCGATGAGAGTGGGTGCATTGGTCAGGACAATGCAATTCAGCGCGTGCGTAATAGTACCGTGCACAGAGCGTGCCACTGTACAGGTGTATGCTCGCATACACGGTTGGCTCGGTACGGTGCGAAAGAAGTTCAACATACATGCGTAGGACCGTACACACGCTTTCACGCTTCAAATATTTGCTGTGCTGTACATTCGCAGCTTGTAGACTATGTTGTCTCATCAGCTGTTGATGTTTTTTTGGGATGAATATAACTTTATAGGTGTGCAATCTTCAAATATCACTTAAGCAGATTACATTGACGGTTGTCTGAAAGTGCACTAATTAAATGTCTTTCCGTTGTAATTTTTAACCTTAACATTCAAAATACTTCAGTGTAATAATCACCTCGCTCGGTGTATTCATGTATGTGTGGATGATAACTGAGAAAAGTGTTGAACATCATAACAACTACATCTGTACAGTACTCTACATGTTGCACTTAAGAACTGCTGTGCCAGGAGCCAAATATATACATACTGTGTATATTAAAAATACATTATGAATTAAATTGACCGTACAAAAAGTTGAGTCAATGCCATTATTGAATTAAAGGCTCCATCAAATGCAACAAACTCTCTTTATTAACTTAATAGAACACTTTGGTCCCTTAACTAAAAGTTTAAGTAGTTTCACTTGTAACCGTGATATGTGCCCTGACAACATGCTGTGTACTGTGACGTTCGTACAGCCCATCTCAAAGTAGAGCACTGAGGTGGCATTTCTCAAGCGTGGTTAAACATTTAGTGCTGTCGAATTGTATGGGATTTGCAATATGACCCGTATCCCAAGAGGCGTTAAAAGATTAATGTTAGCTCGTGCAGAATGCACAAAAGCAGTGCGGTTATGGTGGCCATTATATTTTTTAAACAAGGAGTCTACAGTGGTAATCAAATATTACTGCAATGCCTTAACCGTCATAACTGTCCTTTGTTGTTTTAGCTATGAATCACCCAGCACGTAACTTTCTGTGTTTGTTTAACCAGTGAAGGATCTTGCCTGTTCTCATTGGACAATAAAGTATGGGCAACAATGGATCATTTCTTGGACAAAATGTCTGAGAACCATTACTTACTTACTCATCATCATCCCTGATGGGACATAAGGCGACAATGAGCTCATGCGCAACTGAAAACTTTACACTTCAGAATTTTAACGACATTTATTTCGAGTTCGTTGGATTTGTATAATTTTGGTACACACTAAATATCGTATAAACTGAAACTAAACTTAAAGTAAACGTTCATAGGGTGAGCTCTATAAATAGAACATGTTACGAAAACATTTTGCATTCTGTGCGAGTGCTGTGTGACAACCTCCTAACTCTTATCGCTCATGCTGTCATCTGCGTTCATTAGAAAGCACCATTTGTCAACGCCTGTGAACATGGCAATCTATCCGCAATGGGAACCCATTGGTAGATGTGAATACTCGGGCTCCTTAACGTTTGAGAGAACAAAGATGACGTGTTGATTCGTGGACCGCGTCTATTGTCTTCATGTAGGGTACACGGACATTGTAGAATTTCAATGCACAGTTAGACCCAGCGAAACGGTAATATTCACTGACCCTCGCATAAACAGATTTGCTGAAAAAAGGTGTTTTTTTTAAAGATTTTGTTCCTCACTGCTAATCATCCAAGCGATTGATGCAATTAATTAAAAGGATGTATTTATTAATATTAATTGACATATGCATTGCAGACCAGCCTGACAGAGAAAAGTAGACAGACTGTGACTTGACAAGCATTTTCATATTTAATTTCCCAATATTGAACCATGAATTAAATGTAAGATGTAAACAGATAAGGAAATGGATTTCGCTCATCATTTTGTAGTTTTTAACTACAAGCGTCGATAATGTTTAGTAAATTTAATATATAATAGGACACATCTTGCTCTGTATTATTAAAATAACACGAGGGCATGTATTGAATAACGTTATAAAAATGTTCATTTGATTTTAAACTCTTGGCAATTATGTAATAAATAACACCAATGGCACAGTATATATAGTGTTATATATGCCTGGCATATACATTTTCACAGTGCACACGTTGCCTTGGGATGTTCCCCCATGCACACAACCAGTATGCAGCTCCCCCTGTCTTGTGCATGCACCTCCTCAAACTCTTGAGGTTGCAGGGGCAAACTGCAAAACCATGGAGTTGAGCTCATTGACCCTGAGCCTCTCGTTCTCTCCCCACACATCTCAACTCCGCAGGACCTCATTTCTCGATCTGCACCTGCCGTGTCCTTACCCCCAGCCGCTGATGGGATCCTTGCCAGTGCATTACTTACATCCTGACTCAACTACTGTAACTGTCTGCTCTACAGCCTCCACAAACCACTCATCACCAAAACTCGATGATCCAAAAATGTCACCGTTAAGACTCCTTGCTCACACCAATAAACATGACCCCCTAACCCCCAATACTCCAATACGTCCACTGGCTTGCATTATAGTCCCATGTCAATTTCACTATCACACTGATCATCTTTAAGATCCTCTTTGGACCCATCCCCACCTATCATCTCCTCTGAGCACCTCTTAAGGCCAGCGCTGAACTTGACTGAGTGGTTGTGGACAGCACTACACACCCTCTGGCTGCTTTTGTTTCTCTCATTTGTCATCGGTACCAATGTTGACTGCACTGGGTCCACGATCCTCCTTGGACCCATTCCCACCTATACTCTCCTTCGAGCATCTCCTAGGGCCAGGCCAGCACTGAATTTGACTGAGTGGTTGTGGGCAGCACTACACACCCCCTAGCGGCTTTTTGTCTCATTTCTCATCGGTACCAATGTTGACTCCACTGGTGTCCTCGATTTCGGCCAATTTGTCCTGGGATGAACCCAGGCTAGCTTTAGGCACCAATCACCACAGGCCCAATGTATCAAGACGCCAAGCAGTCAGCAACAAGCAGCACTCTTGAAAATCGAATAAATAAGAGTTGCAGCAACATTCTGCTTGATTTGCGCGATGTTGTAATAACTTGGAAAGAGAGACGATGGCAAGGAATTCCAAAACAGAGCGGTGTGAGGGAAGAAACGGAGAGCGAAGCATTTTCACCTGCCATGTGGGGGTTGAACACAGTTTGGATGAGACGAAAGAGTCACACCGGTAGAGTCCTCACAGTGGGTGGAAGAATAATTGACAGAAAGAGGTGACTGACCGTCCGTGAGCGAGTGATTTGAGTGACGGGAGCATTGTGTATGACCTGGTATCAAACCTGTCGTGCATTGTGCTACACACTCCCCCTCCACCCCTCATCCATACACATGAGCTGTAGGTTCTTTTTATTGGGGGAAAAAGGGGCATTCAATAATGCTCAGTGTCTTTTTGTTCCACTGTCATGCCTACGCAACATACATTATTTTCAAATTCTGTTTTAATAGAATGGAAAGGTTGCAAAAGTAATATTACATTACAATTGCTTGGTACACTTTCATCGGTGATGTGCAAACGTCATGCAGGCTCCACATAATAATTCAGGAAAGTGTGATTATAATGCCCAATACGTATTTGATTGTTTGATGCAGTTTAGTATACTGTAATTTGGTGATATTTCCGCAAATAGGTTTATTAGCTCTTATTGTTTGATCATCATTGACCTATTA